GGCAAAGATTTTATACTTTCGCTACACTTTGTCACGTGGGAAATAGCGTGGCGCCAGCACGTGAATTCTGTCAACATTCCAAATTCAGTGCGTAGGCGTTCTCAAGACTAACTTTTATTTAAAAGTAATTTAATTTTATTTAAAAGTTATTTAAAAGTAATTGTTTAAAAGTGATTCCTTCTGGTCTCTCGCATACAGCTAAATGATATCAAACGCTTCTTCTGCAGTGTTATAATTAAATTAACGACGCTGTGATAGTGTATGGTTGGTTGCTTCTTATTGACCGTAACGCTTATTGATATGCTGTGAGTTTCTATTTAACTAAATGATTAGTATCGTTTGTGATTTGTATGTACAGAGATCAACTCAATAAGTGATAAATTATTTAAAAAAAAAAAAAGACAAGAAACGAAAAGAAAGGAAGAAAGAAAAAGATAAAAAAAAATTTACGTAGAACTGTAGGTAAACTTGCATCTTCACTGCTTCTGTTCATTCTTTCTTAGAAATTGTATTCTTTAGAAAAACTTATAATTCGAGATATTTGAGCGATGGTGTAGTTTACGATATGTTCAATCTAGGTCCTATCAATTTTTCACGTTGTCACAACGCTTTTGAAAGGCATTGACTCGTAATAATTCGTGGTCACCAGCCAGATGACCTTGAACCTTTGAACATCTTTACGTCGATAATGATCATGAATCAATCCGGAGCATTTTCCACCGAAGCTGTATCCAATATTCACGGTGCTTAATATAACTCGAGGTGGCGGAACTCGTTGGTTTCGCACCAGTAAAAGACGGTGGTGGGACCCGGGCTACCAATCCTGGATCAGAAGTTACAAGGGAAGGTGTAATGCGAACTGGTGGGGGTTTCACACGGTTCCTGGAGGAATTTCGGGATCATCGTTGTATCGTGAATCCTGCGTTGAGTGATCTAGTCGAAGATTGGACGCAAAGTGGCACGGTGCTTGATTGTTCGATCGTCTCGATCGTTCTCGGCGGCCAGCTGGATTTTTTAATCGTCGAGCGAATTTTCGCATCTTCCCCCCGGAAGGAATTTCGTTAATCGGTCGATTAACAGAAGACATATCAGAAGGAATAAAACTAATCAACGTAACGACAAATATATTTTGGGTATTAATATTTCGAGTATACGTACATCATTCGTTACACGCTGATATTGATTTTTCTTCAGTGTTGTGAATCATCTTCTGTGAACACCGATAAAATGCCACAGGCAGCCCACGAAACGAAAAACATCTTAACTACGTACTTTATACTGATCCTCTTGCTAATTTGCCTTTGGCTGTTGTACTCAGGATTGTTTTAACTCTAGAATTAAATTCCTGGCCATGGTAAGTTCGCCTAACGTCACAGACGATTGCTACGTAATGCCTGCTTCTGCTATTGTAGTGATCATTGAAGTCTCCGCGACTTCAATGCATCCGTGCAATTTTGCAATAAAGTTTTTGCTCCGCAGTAACGTCTCATTTTCATATTTTATTGATTTTAGGAGTAAAGTGAGAAGGAATGACGGAGGGAATGACGCACGTACGTCGACAACCAGATACCCTCGATCGATCCACGATTACCCAGGATACGCCAGATGCCAGTTTCTCCTTCGTCAAATTAACAACCACTTCCTCTCCGCGTCGCATTCGCGTAAAATCCACTTCAAAATGAACGAAACAAGTGTAATCCATTTAAACTGTTTCAACGTTCTCCATGAGTTTCACGTTCGTCCACCCTTTCCCTCCACGATTTTATGTATTTCTCGAGCACGATAACCAGACGTCAAGAGATAGTCCTATTTCTAATAAAAGGAGTCACCAAAATAACGTAGTTTCATCAGAAACAGGGGCGTGACTGTACCGAGTAGGATGATCAAAGAGTACCCATGTACATTTCTGTCGTAAATTTGAAAAATTACACCGCGCAGAAACGACCTATCGAGGCTGGTTAGAAACGTGGAAGCGTGTTTGTTCGACGACGACTCAATCTTTGCGTGTAGACGTCGAAAATCAAATAAAAGAAATCGAAAACAGCAAATGTTCGCGGCGAAGATAGGGGGAACATCTCGGGATGTACAGTCGGTGGTTAAGAAATACGTGGGTGTTTAGTCGAAAATAGCGACCGACGATTCCAGATCTTTTCGTCGGTACACTTACGACCGGACGTATACAGAACTAAATCAGTATTTTCGATAGCACTTCCGAAAATAGACGATATGAACACATCTGCTCTCTCCTGAATATTTCTACGGTATAAACGCAAGAGGACGGCGATGCCGACGATTTTCCACGGTTATTACGTAACTTTCCGTCGTGGATCGTATTACCGATTCTACCTTCGATTTCGAGCGTCTTGAATATTTTTACTTATAAATAGAATCCCGCCATGAGGAACCGTTCTTCCCTTACGACGAAGCGTATTCGATTTCTTTTCTTGTTTTCCTCCGCTGCGCGCCATCGAACAAACGTACATTTTCTCATCTGTCGTCATATAATTTCACAGAGAAATATTCCATGGCCGATCTAGATCGCTTTGGAAAATCGTCTTTACCGTGTTACGCGACGAAAATGAATCACGCCGGTGAGACAGCGGGGGAAGCGTGACTTCCGCTTTCGACACAGGTCGAAACAAGTGCGCTGGACCGAGATTAGAGTAATTAAGCATCCACGTTCGTACGCTAGAGGAATTCGTAGTTCCTGGATCTGTTGGTTAAAGATTCTCTCCGAGTGACATAACCAGAAGGATAGAAGTTCAAAGCGGAAACAGCGTGGCAAATATTTTTACTGGCCGACGGGTGGTAAACGTTGCCTCTGTTGGCGTTCCAGTAATCGCTCGAAATAGATCTAATTGCTCCAGATTCTTGTTGACTGCGCGTGCTGGCCTGAATTACACAATAGGCCGTGTGCCGAACCCATATAACGAGTTGTTCAATCAAATTATTAGCCTGTTGCTCCTGGGGGAAGGAAAGAGAACGATAACCCACATTTTCGATACAAAGGAATTCGTACGGGGAGAGAAAGGCAACGTTGCTACATCTGTTCAGATCGAGTTTTATTGAGATTTAATAAACATGTCGACGGCCATTTATGAAACACTCGTTGGTTGTCTGGCGTGTTTGAGCCTCGAGCCTCTTGCGTGCGAAAACTGCGCAACAGCCCAGGTAAACGAAGTAAATGATCTCCACGACGCTGAGGAAGCTGCAGCCGAGGAACAAGCTGAAGATTCCACCGACCGATGCTGAGACATAATACCTTTTTTTCTTTTTTTTCCTTCAAAGAACCTTATTCCCGACGGAATAAAATAACAAGAGTGTTTAAACTAAAAATACCTAAGAGATAAGTTTCGTCAGCGGCTGATAGGGTTAACAGTACTTCGTAGGACTGCGAATACATGTAGACTCTAACTATAGCTTTCTTGTCTGATGTATTGCTGAGCATAAATGCGTTGGGAATGGAAAGAATTAACGTTTCTTTAAATTAGAATTTAGTTGATAAATTAATTAGGATTGAACTTACGAGGAGCTGGACTTCGTTAGAGATATTAAGTTAGGGTATCCGTCGTAGTCTATGTTTTTGCACGGAGTCCTACATAAGCAGGTAATATTCTTGTTCTTGATGTCTTTCACGATGGCTAACAATTTTGTATTCTCCTTGATGCAAGGTAGACGTTCTATCTCACAACGCTGAAAATCGAACAAATTATAATGCGTGTGCAATTCGTGTTAAGTGTGTGTGTGTGTGTGTGTGTGTGTATGCAGTATGTTTTACAATAGAATCTGTTTACCGGGATGTTGTAAGATTCGGCTATGTTGTCGTAGATAAATGGTAAGCAACCGCATATTTGGATCATGGCTTTGATCCTACAGTTCGCGTAACAATTTGAATATCGATAGACAGAGAAGTATTTCAAAGTGTTTTGATGTTCTGCAATGCAAATGGGAACTAATTGCTTCTCCTTATTACGATGCTGAAGTCCTTCTGGTTTTTTAACGTGCTGCGGTTTCACAGCGATCTGCAATGGTAATTTGAAAAAAAAAACATAATTTTTCTACAGTCTGTTTTTTTCTTATGAAATGAATTACCTGTAATTCATGATTCGCTTGGACCGTGTACATATTAGTATTAAGACCGGGAAAATCCATTCGATGATGTATCAATATCTAAAAAAAATGATACATATTTAACGATACATATTTAATATTTTGCAATTGATTATTTTGTTTTTTCTACCTCTATACCATTATTATTCATGAGTCTCGTGAAATTACGTATATTATCGTCTGAAGTGAACGTCAGTACTTCTTTGTTGATCACGAGTTTTAAACCGCTCCATAAACCAAAATCGGCGGATGCCAGAGGCTTCTGTGTTTGTTGACCCCTTTATATCATATACAAAGGAATCCGCACACGATACGTTAATTAATTAGATTAAAGAGATCATCACAATTACAACAATAATTTTCTCAAATTATTAGAATATAATCGAGATACTTGCTTCGGCGATTTTACATAATTATCAAGGAAATAATTGAAGGAACAACATAGTCCGTAAGAAGTATACGATGGCTTGATGGATTTAGCACAGTCTATGCGTTCCATGCTCCACCAACATGATTCGAAAATATCCTCGCAATTGATCAGAGTTTTCACGAATTCCGCGGTGCTCCATTTATTGACATCCAAGAATGCTTTTAATTTGTCCATTTCTTTGTACTCCTGAGTCGTGTACGGTGCAGTTATAAGGTGTCCGTAACTAACATTAAATTTTAAACTATTTCACTCTGTCTTACATGTCTTGATAATTCCGCTTGACATACGCACGTTAAAATCTCTAGTGCAAGTTCTCTGCTCACGTTCTTAGGCAACACGGAGTTCTCCAAAATGGCCAAACTTTTCTTCAAAGGGATTGGCATGGATGGACAGATGGTTACAGCGGGGAACGGCGCTTCGAATATTGGCTGGTCGAAGGATTTTATGTACGTGTTGGTCGGATTCTCGTTGTAACGGTGTAAAAATTGTATCACCATCAAGCTTAAACCTGAAACCAGACGCGTCCATAACCGTGCGTATATTTTCCAACCAATAATTACACGTACAGACGAAACAAATGAATATGGTAAAGGTCCACAGGATTTTCCCAAGAATTCCGACTTTTACGTTCGTTTTACCGAAATATTGCAAACCGTGCACGGAAGTGTTCTCCAAATAAGTTTCTAGAATTTCTCGTACTGTTGGAATCTTCTCCTCTTCCTTTGATGAGTTGCTTACGTCCTTCGTGAGGTCTGATTTTACATTGATCACGCTAATTTTATTAACTGTGTTGCTACGCTTTGTGTTGGGACGCAGAAAGTCCTGATTTTGATTGTTGAATCTTCTGGACATGGTTGTCGTGATATTTTCACAGTTCAAACTGCGTGGTGTTAACATTGTTCGTGAAACGATACTAATTTTTAAAGAGGGGAATACTATGTTTTTATAGCACGACAAGGTCGCGTGTCTGCCATTGATGTAAATTATTCATTAACTCTGAAAATTTAATACGATGCGAGTAGCGTGTGTGCTGATTTCGTCGCAATTAATGACACACTAGAATACTAAAAGTTCAAGGTTCAAGCAACGATACATGTTACTTTAACGAACAACAGTTGAAATAGTTGAAATTTAAAAAAATTCACGATTTAATTCTCTTTTGTTTGATATGTAGCGAACTGTTGCACGATACATCATTACAATATCTTACATATAGCATCTTACAAAATTGTAATTGCTTCTGTTACTCGTATTGGAATAACGTACATTCGCGAATGATTTCATCCCGTGAGATGCATTTGTTTTGAGACTTCTACTCTTTCTCCTTCGCGTTACACTTTTCTTTCCTTTTTCGTAACTTCCTTTTTATTTACAATATAAAACAACGAACAAAAATACCTAATCTACTCTCTGCGGTACAAATAAATAAACAAGATGCACAATGAAATGATAAACGAGACTGCTATGTACAAAATAAGGAGGTACTATCGCTTGAAACGTGAGCGAAACTTTATACACATCACAGTGCTGTTAACTCGACGATTCTAAATCTCGACACGGAAGTTCCTCGAACGAATTTGAATCAATGAATGCCTGGCACGATTCGAACGTGCGAACGACTGTCTATGACGTTTCTTTCAGAAGTCTTGAAATAGAGCCAGTTGTTCCGGAGGCAAGGGAGGCTGGGACCGCCAGTCGATCTCTGGATAATCGTCGAAACAGCTTGGATCACCTGGTGCTGTCACTTGAGGTCTTATTGGGGGTGTTAGAGCTCTCTGCGGCACCTATTTACATAGAAGGATAATGTAAAATCTATTAT